AATTCGTATATTTCAAAGTTTTATGAAGTTTTAATTTTTTTAACATATAAAAACTAATAAATAATAATAAACTAATAAAGAACGGGTACTTACATTCATGTCAATTGATTTATAGATAGAGAAACTAAAAAGTACATAGTCTCCAAGCAAAACAGGTTTCTATTAAAAACTAATCAAAGAAATTATTTATTTAATAAATTGATTATTTATTGATAATATACTAAATAGTACTACTAAATAGTAGAAATCGTAATAATAAGCGTATTATTATGTAGAAGAGTTAAGAGAAATAGTCAACCAATTTGATTAATTGGTCGACTTAAAATGATATGTGTACATTTACAGAATTTTATCTGTTGATATACAAAAAATTTATTTTTCTGCATTTATAGAGATAGACACTCAGAGGAAAATCGTTAAACCGAATTGTTTTATTCTACAGTATAGGGCAACTTATTTTTTGTTGTAGCTGTTCAAATTGCAAACAACTTGACAAATTTAATATACACTTCATTTATAAGATCTAAAATTTTTTATTATAATATTCACAGTAACACTACATTATATTTCAATTTGTCTATAATTAGGAAAATTTCGTTTAAAGTTTGTTTTAAAAATTGTATGAGAATTATATATGTATATAAATCGTATTTAAAAAAAAAAAAACAAAAAATGGTTGAGTAAAGGTTGTTTTAGTATTTTTTAACATAACATATACCATATCAATTCACTAGATTATACAGATTTTCACAACAGTATCAAATTTCGCGACAAAACAATTAAAAAAAATTTATCTTTAAATAATCTCTAAGGGATGTTATATTTGTTTACAATGGACACAAGTACACCAAAACTTATAAGGAAGGATATATAAACGGACTCAAAATATAACAAAAAGAGATAACTAAAAACAACAACTGTCAAAATAAAAACTCGAAACGATCATGTAAACGCTTGACGTTTCGGAACTATCTTTAGCAAAGTTCGACAACTACAGTTCATAATGTAAACTGTAATGGTATTTCGCAAAAACTGTCAAATTTCACAAATTCAAAACATTTTATTTAACATTTTATCTATGGCACTGCGACCATTGGGTCTATTGTACCACTATCTAGGCTTAGAATAAATCTATAAACCCTGTTGGTTCAGTAAAAAGTAATGTAAAATCTACTTTACAGTATTTAATTGTCTCGTTTAAAGTTTACTTTGTACAGAAATATTGTCTTCTTATTACAAAGCACTTTATACGGCTATAACACAAATAAACGTAATTTCAAGTGCAAGTCTGTGGCAAAATATGTTCTGATTTTTAGATAGCATGTCTTTCAACTACTTATACATTCAAATCTGTAGTTAAAATAGCGCACAAATAGGGCCTCATCAGAGTTCAAAGAATAGAACTTTTTGTCAATGAATTCATATCCTAAATTTTTCTGCAGTTCAATATTTTAGTTCTCAAAAGAAAAGTATTTTTAAGAAGTAAATTTTAAAAAATAGAAACTCATAATTCATAAGTAAAACTTTTCAAATTATAAAATTAATTATTATAAAATAAAAAATTCATTTTTATTAATCCCTTTAAGTATTAAGTATTAAACCCGCTACTGCTAGTCACGCTTTATTTGTACTGATTGCTACAGATGATGCGCATCTTTTGCTTTGCGAAAACAAATACTACACAGTTTATCGTACAGAATACGTACATCTATAATGATGCCGTCGTCATAAACTATGTTTCAACTTGCTCTCTAAAACCTCTCGTTTAGACTTTACAACCAACCAAGCAATAATAAGAACACAAAGTTATAAACATTTTTATAATTCAACGGAATAACAAACAAACCAAAGTATTAACTACAAAATTAGACTTTATAATTAAGTTAAAGAATATCTATTTAAAAAAAAGAAAAAGAAAACATTACTACATCTACACAATTTTTGAATTTACCTTACACGATTCGGACTTAAATTGGATTGAAATCATAAACAAGCGAACTTAGTTAATCTATCTTATTTTTTTTTGTTCATAAAACAGACAATCAGAAACTCACAGATAGATTAACCGGGAATCGGACGGACAATTTAACATGTTTTTGTTTAATTTGATAGTAAAACCTTTAGGTTCGTTGTAGGTCGTTAAGCAAACGCTTTTTTTTTAACTAAAGATGTATTGGAGATGAATACTCAACATGTGTATGGTTAAAACTCTGCCAACTAAATTTGTGTTTAAGTTGATTAACTAATGAAATAAATGTCAAAAAACTGTTTTTAGGGAGTTAGGGTTTCTGTTAAGGCTACATTTTGATTGTGAATTCAGATTATACTATCATAAGTTTTAATTAATCTTATTAAAATCATAACGAAACTGCCCAATGTCACTAAAATTTTGTACATTTAATAAGTTGATTTAGAAAATATTATATATACTTGTATATATAAAATTTTACTATAAGTAAGAAGTTCGGGTTCTATTTTATTTAATTATCAAATGATCAGATTATAATAAAAAGTAAGAACTATAAAGTTGTTATTCTTGTTATCGAATTACCATTTAAACTTCATAAAGTTAATAGCAATAAAGTTTTTCAACTAATATTTGAAATATTAGATAGGTGAATACCCTACAATAGGTGCCTCAAATAAAACTATAATTATAAATGCAACCTAATGTAATCACAATGCAAAACACAAATCACAAAACACAAATCACAAAACAATATATAATTTTTCTTATAGTTACTACATCCTCTTATAGTGCTTATACTAAAGAAATCAATCCTTAACATCTTCAATGTTAACAATTCAGTAAAGTATTGAGTGTTTGGCATAATTTAAAGCATATATCAAAATGTCCGATACCAGTTAACAAGAGAAAATTCAAAAATATTTAATGCCACTATAGTTTTCCCAGATATTCTTCCCACTAAATTAAAAAAAATATTATGAAAAAAATTTTTTTGAAATAGGTTTTTGAGATATAAGGCTTTGAAATTTTTTCATTTTTTTGAACATAACTTCACATGTTACACCATATACCGAATTACAAACGTCCGATTGGATATAATAATCATTTTCCAATTGATTTAGTAGTTAAAATATAATAGACTTATGTATAGCAAAAAACCAAATTTAGGGAGGATGGGTAAGAAATGAATCGAAGTCAGTCAATCGCCACGCAACTTAGAAAAGACTTAGAAAGCTTAGAATTTTGTTAGGTTTCTTATTCGTTACACATTGAACATACTTTTTTAAATTGAATAAGATACTAATAAAGAAAATCTATATATAAGTACCCATGTCATTTTGAATTTCGATAATAAAAACAAAGAAATAACCTTTTTTGTATAAAAAAGCGATGAATTCAAACAACATTGCTAATACAAGGATAATATAAAAAGAAAATTAAGGATAATATTAAAATTTATTGATATAACTGAAGACGACGAATAGCAAAACAAATAAATATTTTCACACGCAATAATAACAGTGTTGTAAACGTATGAAAAATGAAAAAACTTCGAAGTAAAGCTAAATTTGAATATTTGTACCTTTATTTTAATAGTCAGTCATATCTTTTACCTATTTCAATAATAGCAAACCATTGACAACAAATATTATACCCTTCATTCGAAAGACTGAATAACTTATTCTTGGTAAGAGTCAGTTGTTAGCAATATTAATATCCCTGATATTTTTTGTTCTAATCATTATCATTTTTAATGTGAGAGACCCTAAAGAACTATGCCGAATAATTTTTTATTTTCGTCAATTATTTGGATTTTCTTTCTAGTAGATTCCGTCTATTCTCCGTATGTTATTTTTCGTGTATCTATCTATCTTCTATTTAACTATTCCCCAATTAAAAATGTTTACTTATGATCTGGTTTCAGATATTGTCATAAAAATAATTATTTTATATTTAATATATGTTCAAGAACAATTTGTAATAAGAAAACAATGGGTTTAATGGATTTATAATAGATTTTGCTGTAATCGATAATTATATAAATTTTCATACAGAATTTTATTTAAAAAAAAACACATATATATTTATTTACAAATTTGTAATAAGAAAATAATAATTTAATGGGTTTATAATAAATTTTGCTTAAATCGATAATTATATAAATTTTCATACAAAATCTTAATTATATAAAAAGCACATATATATTTATATACAATATATGCATACACTAAAATTTTCTTTTAATATCAAAATTCGTAGTCATAATTTTTTTCAGTGTAAATCTGTCTTAACTCTTGAAGTCTTATGTGTGTAGCAGTTGAACGTCCCAACCTGACCAAGCGCACTATAATCTTCGGTCACAAAATCACATTCTATTGTGTTTATAACTTTTTTCCAAACGCTCATCATAAACAATTAAAACGTCCAAAGACAGGAACGAGGTAACAACTCTCAATGGATTTTCTAAGCCAAGCGAATGCTGAGTTACGAATATTGTTAAATTGCTGTTGATTTCTTAAGGGTTTTGCTGTGCAAAAAGACAAAACGACGAAAGAGAAAAACAGACGAAGTAACAGAAACAAAAAAAGAAAAGGAAACGGAAAAAACTGGAAAACAAAAAGAAAACGTTTAAACACATAAAAAGGCACAAAATCAAAGGAAGAAGAATAGCGGACTGATTGATGGCTATTGAAACATAGGTTAAGGTCAGTTGGAAGCCAGCTAGCACGCAGTGTTAAAATCTTTTTCCCTTATGCGTTTCTCCCTTCCTTTTTTTAGAACAGAAATTGTTTGTTGATTTGATTACTGATAGTTAATGAGTTTGTTTTTGTTGTTCTTTTTTTTTTTTTCCAAGAGTTCTTCATATTTCTTTTTCACTCAGTATGTGAAAAGTTGGTAAAATATGCAACAGAATGTAGGAATTGTGCTAGAAATATGTCTGTCCATAAAAAGTCAGAAAGTGTACACATAAAAGATAATTAGGCTAAAAAGTTATGATTGATAATGAGAGTTTTCAGTAGACACAAACGAAATGGATTTCGAAAAGAGTAAATTGATATTTCGGAATGAAGATAAAGAAGAGGAAGGCGTTTACTTGGCAAGGAATTATGTGTCATTAAAATTTGTTCTGAAGTATTAATTTTGAAGATAATTAAAAAGGAAAAACAATACGCTAAAGATACTTAAAAGTAAACGAATTTCAGGCCAAAGAACTGGTTGTAGACAGTAGAATATGCTGATTATGCTGGGTCCTTAAAATACTGACTGAATACTGAAGATAGCACATTTCGTTTTCAGAAGAAAAACAATTTTTGTAGTAAGCAAGATTATTGCTTATTAGGTTTACAAATGAATTACTGCATACATATGAACAGAGCGAACGAACTATTTGAAGTGCAGCTTTTTTAAAAGTTGTATTTTTTTATTTGACATTGAATTATATTGAACCAATAATAAATATTTTGGAAGATAATATTTTTAATATTAATATTTTGGAAGATAGTCATAGGTCTTGTCTTAGTCGGCTGACAAACGAGACACATTTTGTACAAATCTAAACCTGCGAAACCTTCATTAAATAATATATAAGATCCATTTTTAGAACTGACCTTAGCTTAGAAGACACCCCATACCGAAAATTTAAGCGGGTTTTAATCTAGCGACCGTGGAGGCCACTTAGCGCTTCAAATAAAATGTGAACCGTTGTTAGTTGTCACGTTGGAGAAACTTGTTGAAACTTACATTATATAAAAATTTTTGTTTTATTTATATAATTACTTATTTATTCATTTATTTATTAATTTGTTTATTTATTTTCTATTTCTATATTTC